GGGCCACCTTGTTTTGGTGGCGCCCTGAGGGTGGCAGGCAGCAGCAGCACAGGGCTGTCAGGCAGCCTCTGATGCTCCTCTTCAGAGCCTTCCAGCATAGCCTCCCTCTGCTGCTAGGGGTGAAGGTAGGGCTGGACCTAGAGCAGGAAGCCCCAGGGCCAGGCTGGCAGAACACCCTGGGAGCGGCAGGGATAGGCTGGCAGAGCATGCCAGGAGTTGGGGTCCTGGGGATGGGAATGGGTGACTGGGAGCTTCCGCCGCCCTGCCTTCCTGTGGGCTCCACCCCAGGAAATAAGAGGCCCGTGCAGGTGACAGGTGAGCTGGCACTCCTCCAGGGGATGAGAGATGAGGGTGCAGGAGCTGTTGAGGATGATGCTATTTCATCTGGATCCTCATCCTCAGGTGCCCACGCAGTCTTCACATGGACCCTTAAGGGTGGCCCCTGGAGTCCCTGGCTCTGCGGCAGCAGGAATGTGGTCATCTCCTTTGTCCTCACTGAGTCGACGACCTCCCGTGGGTTAAATCCCATGCCATCCATAACGTTGATTGCCATTTGGGGGGCCATAGGGAGCAGCTCAGGAGGACTGGGGGGTGGGACACCTTGGAGCCAGTGGTGCTGCAGCACCTCCTGCACTGTGGGCCACATCCTGGGGTTGGAGTGCATGAGGTTCCAGATGAGATCTTGTGCATCCCGGGAGATGGACTGGGGGCAAGAGCACCTCCCAGATAGAATAGCTCTCATCTGTGGGGTATCCCAATTAAAGGGGAGCGGCCCCATGAGAAGTTCAAAAAGGATAATTCCAAGGGACCAAACATCCAAGGGAGGGCCTCTATAGCTCTCAGGCAAGAGCCACTCTGGGGCACAGTATTTCCGAGTGCCATAAGTCAGGGCCACGTCCTGCCCAGGGAGGAACCGGGATCCCACCCCAAAGTCACAGATTTTGGCGTGACCTTCAGCATCGATTAAAACATTTTGGGGTTTGAGGTCCGCGTGTACAATTCCCTGGGTATGACAATAATCCACAGCTCCCGCAATATCCCGAAATATCCCTCGGGCCTCCTCCTCTGGCAGCCTGTGGTTTTCAGTCCTGCGGATCCATCCCCACAGGTTTCCCCCCGTCACATACTCTAGGACCAGGTATACTTTGTCCTTGCTTTCGATGACCTCCAGTAGCTGTATGATATTGGGGTGTTGAAGGTCCTTCAGCATCCCCACCTCTGATATAATGCAGGCTGCTGGCATCTTTGTCTTCACTATCGCCTTCACAGCGACCAGCATCCCTGTGCCACGGTGTTTGGCCAGGAGGATCTCACCAAAGCCGCCTTTGTCAAGGAGGCGCAGCACCTCATAGTTTTCCTGGAGGCTGTCAGTGCTGGAGCTGGTGGAGAGGCCCAGCCAAGATGTTCTATCAGACTCATGACCCAGAGGCCACATCTCGATGGAAACACAAGCTCCACTCTCCACACCACCAACCCGATCACCAAATCACCACCAACACTTGCCATCCAACTCCTACGTCACCCACAAACAATTCACCTGAGCCTCGGCCTTATATAGCTAACAACTGTGACCTCACACTGGGTTCTGTGAGGTAGCGGAACCAATGGGCCCAGGCAGATCTGGCCACACCCCCTAGGGCCACCTCACTCTTGCCCACAAGGACCCTTTGTTTGTCATAAAAAAGGTTACACAGTCCTTGCTTGTGTGGGTTATGGAGATTTTAAGTTTTTAAGTTTTTTTTAAGTAAGTTTTTAAAAATGAAAATCCATAGGATGCTCCAAAATCCTTTTCCCTTCTGCTCTGAGAATCTGTGATACCTTTTGCTTTTAGAGATCTCATGATGTCTACGCTCAACATATCCAATTCATTTTTCTTTAAATTCTTACTGGTCTCAGAGTGATGCTACAATTTCATTGCCATTAGAATAATGTACTGTTCTGTTTCTGAAACCTGTCAAGGCACATTAATGCCTATGAAGCTGACAGGAAGATACCTATCATTGTCAGGTAAAAGGGCCGAAGACCAAGACCAGACCAGGCCACAACAAGCCTTTATTAGGGGAATAGATCTGCC